AATAAAAAACAAAAAATCATTACATTTTTTTTGTAGTTCTTAAGTAATCATAATAGAATTCATTGCTGAGAAAAATTTTTTTTCGTGATAAGCACCATAACCCTAGAGAATGCTTTTGATTGAACATTAAATTATTTCAATGAATCACTATCTTAGAGCAGATGCGAAGAAATAGACTATCGGCTACTATTACTTGATGACATCATTTTAATTATTTCAAAACTATCAAACAATAAAACCTTGAAAATCATCATTTTCGAATGATATTTTTAGGCGAGCGAAACTTAGTATTGAAAATTGGAAAAAAGATGTAACAAGTTCAATCTCCATAGTTTCATATCTAGTTTGAATGGGTTTTCTATCATTTACGGTTCTCTAGATCATCGCGCTACTTTATTAGAACTTTTATGCGTACTCAAGTTAGAAAGAAACAAAAAAAGGCTCGCGGCGGACTACATGAATGCCGTGCTTCGCATCGCATTAATGATGCACCATCATCTTTATATACAAAATAGTCTAGTTGAAGAAACAAATGTCTTTTCTTCCTTTGTTGCTTTCTCTCTCTCTCTCTCTCTCACTCTTGTGTGTGTGGGTTGTACAGTATAAATAAGAAAAAAAAGAATAATAAAGAAAAGATTAAGATTAGATTAGGAATCAAAAATAAGAAATTTGTTGTTGATTGGTTAAATAGAAACATAAATTTCTATTTTGTGAATTGATTTAAGTTACTGCGGGGCCTCTGTAACACTTTCTATCTCAGTTTTTTCAATATCTTCATATTAAACACAAAAATGTATGTTTATCTTTCCTCATTTTTGCTGTCATTATTATCTACGCTACTATATAGTAAAAATATCGATGATCGAATAAGACTACGTACCAGCCGATGTCAAATGCTTCTTTTTTAATGTGAGTCTACAAGAAGTATTACTTTGTATATATAGTCGTTACATATTTTTTCTTTTTTTCTAACATAAAATGGTTACGTGAGGCAATGAAGTGTGACTCTAATTTCGCTACTTCGTATTTTCGCATATCAAAATATTATTTCATGTACATCGCAAATTTACCAAATAAGTAATTCATATTTTCCTTTCGGTTTTGATCAGTGAAAAAAAAAGGCGATGGGTATCTTACTATTTCTTTTCATCAAGTTAGCGCGTGGGTGACTGTATAAAATGACATTACCAGACCCAGACCCTCACACCGACACCTTAAGAAACCATTTTTGACGCAAAGGTAAAATAATCAACCCCTGTGTGTAGAGTAATAAACCTTTCCGATCAAACAGTAGAACAATCGATCTCTCTACGTAGAATGATAAACCCTTTCAATGAAAGACCGGAAAGATCAAACCCTGTACGATGAACACTGAACTTCTTTCAACAGAAGAGAAGTAGAATCAACCATAAGCCGATGATAAAATTATCCCTTGAGATGCTAAGGTAGATAAGCCGATATTTGTCAGTAGAATAAAAAAAACCTGTCAATGAAGCGGCATAGAATCGAGCGTTCACATACAGTACTAAACCATTTTTATTAAGATGTAGATGAATCAACTGTTGAACGTGGAATATTAAACCCTTAGCAGAAAATGGTAGCAGAATCTACACTTTGGCATAGAATAATAAACTACTTCTGAGAAGGGTAGCTTACTCTACGCAGAAAAGCAGAGTGATGTACCCTTTTAACGAAAAAGTAAAATAGTAAACCCGATAACGAAGAATAGAACACCCCTACCTTGAAAGCGAACAAGAATCTACGATCATCCGTTGAAGGATATACTCTGATCTTAAAATCGTAGAATAATGAATCCTTATGTACCCATCATATACCCCTTGATTTTTCATAAACCCATAGCGTCATAAACCCTTCGACTAATATATGCTGAAAGGGTTCACCACATCGGAATAAACCATTCAAGGGTTTAATGGCAACTTTTTTTAAGTGCATGGATAGATCATTACTCGGAATTTTTTATCGGTGTGCATCATCTCACACTTAAACTATACTTTTCATATTAATGGTTAGTTACTATAAGCATTAGCCAATTCATTTATTCTCTATTTAGATTCTTGCCCATGTCCTCAAAATCGCTAAAAACTCGACGATTATATCGCTGGATATTAGGGCGATGTATCGTGAGATCTTATCGCGATATAATCGTTCAAATTGCCGATTTTTTTTCAATTTTTAAGAAAAATTGAGACTAATTTGCGGTTGTGTAATCAGCTTAAATTTCTCATGAAAAAAGATACAAAAAGTTAGAGTTTTCAAGACTTTTGATATCTATAGAACGCGTCTCTCACTTTTCCGTTTGAGTTCCCTGAGAGCGACTGATATACTCTTGATCTTACTAAGTGCGTACCAATTCTTTTTTTTATTACCGTAGAGCAGATTCGACCAGATGAGCTTGTATTTTGGAATCATGACAGATACAACTGTATTAATCTTACGTATATATGAGATTGTTGAATTTCTTAAGTGTATTCAGCAAATTTTGTTACAACCACGAAAATGCTACTGAGAATAAAAACTAGGAATGTAATTTTGCTATTACTTTAAAATAAATATAAATAATTTATTTTGATAATTTGCATGTAACAGTAAATTTGAAGGATAACAATTCATATTTAAATATGAAAAATATTTCTAACTAAATTTCATTAAAATATATATTATCACAAAATTGTTTAATTTAAAACAAAATAAATGTGATTTATATCTATCTTTAAATATAAATATTTTTTATAATCTATATTTGACAAATTAAAACATGAGAAGAAATTGACATCTCCTAGTTATTTTTAAAACGAAGATATATTTCATTACTTTATTGAGATAGATTTTTTTAATGATATAATGAATCCATTGGCTATGGCACCTATATGAGTAACTAAAAAAAGTAAAAAAATAACTTAAGGATAGGTGTGGATGATAAAATACTGACTTTCACTCTCGAAACATTTTCCACATCTACCCCTTTTTGGAACGCAATCAGACCAAATTGAATCTCATTCAAGTGATGTGATTCGTTTTTCTATCTGGTTTTTAATGTAGAGTACAACAGAAGAATAATTTATAAATTTCTATGGACAAAAAAAAATGAATAAAATTTATTCTGAAGTGAAAATTTTATATGAAAGAGAAGAGAAAAAAAGCTGAGAATACTCTTCTTCTTTGTTAACTGATTACACGAATATGTTTAAAAATGTTCTTCCATTAGTTGGGATGATTGAAAGAAGCTGCCTATGTAATTATAATGATCAAAAACTAATCTTCGTTTGTATAGGAAGCAATAAAAATTTCTGTTGCAACTAATCAAAGATTGGTGATATAAACCAATCATTGTAATAGATTATGTAATGTATTATGATACAATTCGACTAAGCAAGAAGAGATTAACAAGTTCGTCATTTTGTTTATCTAAGCTAATAAATCAATGATTAATGAGTTAGATAATTGTCTTCTAGTATGTTAGAAAACTTTAAAATATGTTTTTGGTGAAAATATCTGAAAATTCGCAGTTAGTTTCGACCAATCACAAATCTCAAAATAGTCAACAATTTATGACGATACATCTGCGCTACTTAAGAAATCGACGATTAACCGCGATGCATTTATATTACTTGAAAAATCGGTGATTAATCGTGATAGATCGGCGTTACCCAAAAAAGCGGCGATCAATCGCAATTAATCGCTAACATTTATCAAAATCGCGATGTATCATCAAAACTTAGGCGATTTCGACGACATGGGAAATTACTTACTATACGTGTACCTCGTAAAATATTGATTTCAAAGCAGTTGAAAGACTATTTTCCTGATACGAAAATTTATTCTTCAATTCTGTAAATAAAACTGATTATTAGAAGTAGGTGGATTAACGTGAAATAAAAGATGTGTAAAATAAAAGAAAAAAGAAAGATTTCGTTCTATATATTATTTGTGGGAAAAAAACTTTGATGCATCTCAAAATGATTTTATTTGAAAAATGTTTATTTAGAAATATGAAAAATAAAAATCTATAAGATTTTGATTATTTAAAAAATCAGATATATCGAATGGATTTGATTGGTGCGGGTATCCATTGGGTTGATCCTAGCCCAACTCGTAGCTTCTCAAAAGAGATATTTTTGAAAAAAAGCCAATAGCTACTTAACCAACCTATATATACTTAATGGTTTCTTATAACTACTTAATATTTTGAGCAACGAGTTTTTAATACGGCTTGTCCATGTAACGTGACACTTCACATATGAAATATTTCAGAATTCTAAATAAACGATTATGCCGCTTAGAGCAAACTTGAAAGTATAAGAAAATGTATTTTGTTATTTGAAAAATTATTTTTGTGAGTCTTTAAAAACGTATTCATTAAGGGCTAATTTCAATGTTATCTTTTGCAATCTGCTCTGTCTGACTTCGAAGCTAACCATGAATTTTAGTGGCTAGCTCCGAACCCCAGCTATCAAATGGTTTGAAAGCTATCGACTATGGTCTTTCTTTTGACAAAACAATAAACTTTTTTTTCCTTTTCTTCACATTGAAATATTATTATGAAAACAATACTTGATCAATATCATTGCAACAACGTTACGAAAACATCCTCATTTTAAAATTTCTGTCAGCCACTTAGAGGATATCAATAAAAAAACTAGTGGATCATAACTAACTTTTCATGGGATGGGTGTGGGGTGTGGGTGTGAATGTGTTGGTATGTGAGAAGGAGAACTATGTCCACACACACACACACACTACTGTATCACGAATTTTATCAACATTTATATATGAGTTTTTAATTCTATATAGATGTCAGATATAAATTAATTTTGTGATTTTGAATTTCTTTTCAATAATCATTTAAATTATTTGCCAACTGAAGAGTCCCCTAAGCAAGGACGGAACGCGTCTTGGCAGCTATACACACCCACACCCACACCCCACCCAAAATTTAGGGGCCACTGATTATCAATATCAAAACCAACATTTATAGGCCAATGGTTATCAAAACCGAAATTTTAGAACTAATGGTCATAATTATCAATATTATTATGGAAATTATCCAAATGGCTATCCAAATAGAAATCCTTATTTTCCAAACTTCAATGGTTATGGTATGAGGAATCAACCATATATGCCCCCATGACCTAGATATTATATCGTCAACAAAATATACAAAGATCAAATCGGAATCGAAATCGAAATCAAATAAGAGGAGGAAGAGGAGAAAGAAATCGTCTAAATCAACCTAGAAATGGTTCGAATCAACAACGGCGAAGTCAATCTAGACAACCTCCTCGACAACAACGACAACCACGCAGAAATGGATCAAGGCAAATTCAATTAAATGATTTTATATCAGCCCAATTGCGTGATCGTTCATCATCTATAGCGAATCTACCTGAAGAATTTGAGGCGTTTAACAGTACAACAAATGTAAATAATGTACCAATTGATGCATTACCTCAACGAGCCATATTCGCAAGAACAACACCAGCAGATTCAACACAACCATTCAATGTTGTTAATGTTGTTAATGATGATGAAATTCGAGAACAACCGATTATTAATAGTGGACGAAATCAGAAACGACAAACATCAACAACAACAGCATCATTTAGACAACAACAGCAACGTCGCATTCGACAAGAGCAATATCGACGAAACGGAATTAATACAAATAATCGATTTGCTGTACTTGCCGAAGACAATAATGATGATGCTGACGACTATGATTATGATGATGATGACAATGTTAAAGATAATGTCGATAATGATGAGCCATTACGATCCTTTAAAAAGAATAATAATAATAAGAGAAAAAGAAAAAAAGAACGACTATATCTGAAACATGAGCGGATCATTACATGGATACACGAAAATGTCCCACAAAAAGAAATTATAGATAATAGTGGTAATTATGCTTATGTATTGACATCTATAAATATTTATGACGAATGGATCCGGGCTAATTACAATCTACAAATTTGGCAAAATTATTTCAAAATGGCTACTGAAAATAAACATTGGGCCAAAGAAATTATACAACGAACAAAGCAACATGATGAAATTGTGAATAATCGATTTATTAAAAATAAGATTAATCAATTAGCTTTGATAATAGTTCAATCTAGTGCAAGTATTTCTGATTTGAAGACACAATTACGTTCCTATTGGTCACAAATACCATCCTACAAAGGATCAAAAGCAGCAATGGATGCTATGGCACAAGGTACTTCAACAACAACGTCTTCTACAACAGAATCTACAACTTCAAAACTAACTACTACTTCATTAGCTCCTGATCGAGTTCGAGATAAAGTTGGCCAAGTCGAAAAAATAATATATAAATATTTATTCCATTGTACTGCACATGCCAAAAAGTTAACTGAAGATCGAATTCGATCGGCTAAAGCACAATTAATTGAATTTAAAGCTTTAGAAGATTTTCAATTGGCATCTACCCCAAATCATCGGATTATCCATTTTGTATTGAAATCCAAAATGAAATTATGATCAACAAAAAATAAGAATAGAACCACAATACTGAAACGCATAGAACTTGACTGACCTCCCTAATGGGTCTCAAAATGTGATTATAATTTAAAAATCGATGGATCCATGATTAGTCCACAGAAAGTACAAGAATTCTATAATCGAATGCATGATTTAAAAAGAAAAAATCGTATAGAAGCAATGGCAATATATCAAGACATAGCTACTCGTGAATATGAATTAATAAATAAAGAAATAAATGATATTATTATTAACCTGTCAAAGCAAACTGATGAAAATGAAGTTAGCAGTGCTGCGATTATTCATTATCACAAGCTACGTGAGAAAAATTAAAATTAGAAGCTGAACAATCGGCGTATTTTTTATCCGAGCAGCGGACCGAGAGCGTAATCAACAATCAAGAAGATGACGACATAGAAATAATCCCTCCGACTCATATTCGAACGTTGGGCGTCGACTTCTCAGCGCAGCCATAATCAATGAAGCAAACATAAAATTAGCCGAGGAATATCATCAACTACTTAAATTAGGTCTTCGGTTCATCAACAACGATCCAAAAACGGCATCTCGACGACGTACCACAGAGTTGGCTACTCTCAAAAGAAAAATAGAAAAACAATTTTACGATAAAAAAGTAAGTCCCGGTCGTCCAGTCGAACAATTCATTGCCGCATTGGATAAAATGCTTCTTAAATTACACGATTCATCTTCGACTGATAAATAACAAACTACTTTCAACAACAACAATAACAATAATTTAACAAACAACCTTCCAAGTCAGCCAAGTCAATTACATATACACAATGGTACAGTTACAATAATGAAGAAAAACAAAAGAAAAAACTACGGCCGATTAGTTAAACGATTGAAATACAAGTTTAAATTGGCCAATGTAGTTCTTCGTAAATCTGATAAATCCAAAGTATTTCATTTAGGTAAACTTGAAGAATACAATAAAAAATCAAATGAATATATGGAAATAACCAAAGCATACAAATGTCTTGGTACAATAGATCCACTTGCAGATTTAATGCAAAGAACCAATAAATATCTATTAGATCTGAGATTAATAAAGTGGGTAACTCAAAAACAATGTGAGCAATTGAGCATCAAACCAAATGAAGTTGAACTAGCTCATTTATATTATTTACCAAAAGCTCACAAACCTGGTACTCCTCTTCGACCTATTGTATCTGGACTGAAACATCCAACAATTAAAATTTCCAAATTTCTTGATGAATTACTTCGACCCTTGTTTAATCAAATGGCTTCAAAGACAACCACAACTTCTGACTTTTAACTATTAAAACATGTACAAGAATGATCTGAAATTAAACTATGTCAAGATACATTATTTTGTACTATTGATGTAACGGATCTATATACAATGGTACCACAAATAGAAGGAGTATTATCATTGAAGAAAATGTTGGATTATTTACAATTGAAACAAATTGGTGGTCTTAAAATTGAAACAATTATTCGTTTAAGCCGATTTGTTATGAAAAATAATTATTTCTCATATGATGGTCAATATTATCATCAAATACGAGGTGGAGCAATGGGTTCTCCTCTCACTCTCACTATGGCTAATTGTTACATGTTCTTATATGAACGTGACATAGTTAAACAAGTGAACAATAGTGGTGGATTATATTTCCGATATATTGATGATATATTCATTACAATTAATTGGCCAGCTTGACTCTTGTTTAAACAAATTGATCGATGGAATCATTTTGATGAAAATATTAAATTATCAGAAAATATAGGTTCAAATGCTGACTTTCTAGATTTACACATTGAAAATCAAGATGGCAAATTATTTACGACAGCTTACCAAAAACCATCCTATGAACCTTATTACTTGCCATTCAATAGTATTCATCCGTTACATATGAAGAAGAATATAGTATTTACTATGTTACTTCGTGCTATTAGATATTGTTCAACATTTCAAGCATATTTAAATGAATGTAAAAAACTACGAATGGCATTACTGATGAACAAATGTCCAAATAAATTTATTGATGAACAATTCAATGATATATTACTAAAATTGAACATTGATCGACCATTGACGTTTAATAACTATGCAAATTACCGTGAAAAAGTAATTAATTCACCTGTAAAACAAAAAAAAATTGATTATGGAAAGAAAATGTTTGTTCATTTTAACTTACTTATTGTTCAAGTATGAAAACATTTCCTTCAAAATTTCATGCTCTTTGGAATGAATACTTTGGTCAATCTCCAATCAATGAAATTATATCTGTCCTTGGTACACGTAACGTTAAAAATTTACAAACTCGCTTGACACTTACAAGATCAATAGATATTGATAATTAGTTACCTAACTCTACTGTCTAATTTAGTCTATTTTATTGTCTTCGTTCACAAATGTTCAATTATATTAAAATTCTTACTTTATAAATTGATCTATTTACACTTATCAATATTCTGATTGTGTTTTATCAATCTCTGATTATAAAAATTACAAATATGATTATTATTACAAAAATATTCTATCGCAAAAAATGATAATTAAAATCAAGATTGCAGCCACAATACATAAAAATAGGCAAACTGAAATAATTGAAGAAAAAATTTACTAGATGACTAATAGATACATATGATGATCAAGAATGAGATGTGCACGTTATTATATTTGGTTCGTGTATTTTTGAGTTTTGATCGTTATCATTTTGAGTCGAAATTTTGTGTTGCTTGAATATTCGTAGTATGTATATATAACGTCTGCTTCCATTTTAGAGTTTCAAATGTTAATTCTTTTTCTGCTGAGAAATTTTTCTTTGTGGAAATAGTTTTTCAAAGCTTATATATAGACTATGATATAAAGTATATTTATCGTTTCTTCTGGATTCATGTAATGATAGGTGGGGTAATGTGCGTTCTTTTCCATTCGGCGTTAGTTTTCTTTATAGTATTTGTGTAGGTGCATTATTCTAAAATAGATATAGTCAAATTCTATTTACGGATGATATTGATAGTAGTATGTTTTACAAATCGGTTTCGATAGTGAGGTTTTTGTTACGATTTCTACCATTGGTTGCTGGAAATGTTTACAGATATCTTTGGCGACATTATGGTTCTTATTAAAGTAAGATTTTTGGTCAAATAGTTAAATGTGAAATTCAGGTTCTCGTTTTAAAAAAGGCAATTTGTTTCATTCATGTTTGCCAAAAATTAGGGGTCCGACAGTGACGAAAACCGCCACCGATCTCACCGTTACAGATCCCACCGATCACACTGGTCCTCGCTAGTTACTGTAACTGGTCTCATTAGTCGTTTTCACACCTCTTTATTGATAATTAGTACTATTTTCCTATATACACCCGCTTTCAGAGAGTTTTCGTATGGCAATACTAATACAATCAAGTATAATGTGGGCAATATCGGAACATTATGCACTTGTATATTCTATCTGTGACATATTGCAAGACTAAATCGCAACTAGGGATGCAACGTTGACGCTGAATCGCCGGTTCACTAGTACCAATTAACCGGTCGAAGTCGGTAACTGGCAGATACCGGTAGCTAGTATAACCAGTATAAATTAGTGTCAGCCACTATATATCGGTGCATCTCGACATACCGGTATAGAGCGGTAAGCAATTTACCGCCTTATAGCGACCTATAATGACATATACTGGTGAAAACTAGAGATGGGGTGGTGAGACTAGCAGTGATACGGGTAAACCTATGAAAGACGTACGGTGAAGACCGATGCATGAGCATCGCTGATGAGGGGTGCGCAAGTACGGGTACAACTTGTACTAGCATCGACTACCACATCTTATTCCCCCAAAACCTAGAATTCTAGAATTCATGCATCGGGCGGTACAACCGAATACATACAAATACATGAGAGTACATGAATTCTAGAATTCTAGGTTTTTTTTTCGG